TAAAAATATTAAAAAATTATTGATTGTTGCCCTATCCTAAAAAATTTCATAACCAATTAACATATCTCACTAAAAGATTTTTCAAGATCATTAACTTTTTTTTTTTAGATAGGATAAGCAATTACACAGAAGAAGACGCCCCAGATACCACCAATGCCAGTAAAGAGGGAGGAACCTCCTCCATCCAAACTCGTGGTGAATCAAAATCGAAGGCGAGCCTACTTAAACAATGAGCCACCGAATTGCCATCTCTACAAACATGCGAAACCGATGAAGAATGAAACCGTGAAAGAAGCGCTTGAGCCACAACCACTAAATGACCATAGCAAGATAAATTATCCTTCTTGCTTTGGATTGCAGTCACCACATTTTGAGAATCACCTTCAAGATGAATATGACCCAAACCCAAATCATATCCCAATTGAAGAGCTTTGATCGCCCCCAAGGCTTCCACACAATCAACATCCTCCAAAGACGGGATCTGCTCAACCATAGAAGAATGACTGCCCTATGACAGTCCTGAATAATAATCCCAATACCAGCCCGGGCTTGGGCCTTTCTAACGGAGCCATCGAATTCAGTTTAAAGACACCCTCACTTGGCACAACCCACCTTCGCAGCCGTACCTGGGCCGCAGGAAGTTGGCTGCAATGTTGAGCTTGATCATATTCTGATACATAGTTCACCGCAAAAGAAATAACCTCCTCCACAGTCCTTGATTTATTTTCGAAGATAATTGAGTTCCGATTATTCCAAAGACACCAACATATAGTAATAAATAACTGCATGTGTTCTAAATCAGTCTTGGCCATGAGATTACAAACCCACTCCAAACAATTGGTAACAGGAGTATAGTTGATAACCATATTGAGTGAGCTTGACATCCAAACATTCATTGCAAAACCGCAGTTGTGAAAACAATGGCCTACCGTTTCAGCCTCAACTCCACACCCTGCACATAAGTCCATATTGACGATATGTCGTTTCCGCAAATTGGCCCTTACGGCTAGCAACCCAAGACACACTTTCTATCCAAAAATCTTGAGTTTATTCGGAAGATGAAGCTGCCATAAAGCTCGCCAAAATTGCCTATGGGACTGGCCATCATTGGAGGTAGCACCGTGACCATCCGAGGAGGCCATATCCACACACAAATGATATGCCGAGCGCACCAAGAACTCTCCATTGCATGAAAAATGCCAGACCAATTTATTCGAAGGTAACGTTGGACAAAGAGGAATGCTTCGGATAGCCTCCACATCCATTCCCAAAAATTTTTGAGTAAGCATCTCATCATGCCATGCACCCTTCTCGGAATCAATTAATACAGTAACCGTCACATCGTCCGAAAGAGTCGACGGTGGCAAAATTACTTTAAAAGAGTGAGGCTGTGGAACCCATTTATCATGCTTAACCAAAATGCTCGCACCATTCCCAACTCGCCATCGTAGGCCGACATTTAGAAGACTTCGCGAGCCAACTATACTCCTCCAGGTGAAGGATGGGTTGCACCCGACCAAAGCATCAAGAAAAGAAGTTTGAGGAAAGTACCGAGCCTTGAACACCCGCACAACTAACGATTGAGGCCTCTGCACTAATCACCAACACTGTTTGGCTAACAAAGCCGAATTAAACGGTTGAAGGCACCGAAACCGCATACCACCATGCAATTTTAACTTGCACAATTGTTTCCAGCTAGTCCAATGAATTTTACGAGTTCCTCTTTTTGTCCCCACCAAAAATTGCACACCATAGAATTAATGTCATGACACACTCCATTAGGAAGATGAAAGAAGGACATAATGTAAGTGGGTATTGCTTGAGTAACAGACTTAATGAGTACCTCTCTACCCCCAACCGATAACGATTTTTCCTTCCAACCATTTAATCGATTCCATATGCGCTCCTTAACAAACCCCAAAACTGCGTGCTTAGAATGCCCCACACAATATGGTAACCCCAAATACTTCCCATAAGGCGCCAACGAACCCATCGCAAGAATGGATGTCACCACTAGCTGAGTAGCCAAAGCCGTATTTTTACTAAAACAAACAGCAGATTTTTGGAAATTAATTTTTTGCCCCGATGCTTGCTCATACTTTTGGAGGATATCTCGTAACACACCCGCCTTATCTTCCTTAGCAGCCGCAAATAGAAGACTGTCATCGGCAAAAAACAAATGCGACAATTGTCGACTACCCCGGCAAATTGAAATCCCCGACAACTGGTTATCTTCCATAGCATGGGCGAGGAGCGCCGACATTCCTTCGGCACAAATAGTGAACAAATATGGCGAAAGCGGATCCCCTTGGCGGAGGGCCCTTGTTGGGTGAAACATTCTTGAAGGCTTCCCATTAACAAGTACAGAAAAAGATACTATAGACACACAATTCATGAGTAGTTGCACAAACTGTTGTGGAAAGCCTAACTGGAGCATCATTTGATTAATAAATGGCCATTCCACTCGGTCATAAGCTTTACTTATGTCAAGTTTCAACGCAAGACATCCATCTTTTCCCGCCCGCTTGTTCTTAAGAAAATGGAACACTTCAAATGCCACCAACGCATTATCGATAATCAAACGGCCAAGAATAAAAGCACTTTGAGTGTCGGAAATAACAGATGGCAGCACCTCTTTGAGACGATTGGCAAATACTTTTGCAATTATCTTATAGACAACATTACACAAACTAATTGGCCGAAATTCTGACATTAGCTTGGGATTTTTAATTTTAGGAATCAGCACAATAAAAGTATGATTAATATGTGAAATCTCATCAACCCCATTCAACACCCCAAGCACCGCAGAACTCACACTAGGACCCACCACTTGCCAAAATTTTGGAAAAATAAAGTAGGCTTACCATTGGGCTCGAGAGCCTTCGTTGGATGCATTTGGAAAAGCGCATGGTGGACCTCAACTTCAGAAAAAGGTCTATTCAGATGAGACGCACAACGATCGGAAACTCTCGGCTGAATCAACTGCAAAACTGGGCCCATATTCAGACCCTTACCCGCCGAAAATAACTCCTGAAAGTAATTCACAAAGTTGTCCTCCACCACTCTTTGATCCTCCTGCCAAAGTCCATTAGGAACAACAATCCCATCAATCTTCTTCTTCTTATGACGTTGGGTGGCCTTAGAATGAAAGAAAGAAGTATTACGGTCCCCATCCTTTAGCCAATTAGCTCGAGTACGTTGACCCCAAAAAATAGACTCCCGTTCTAAAATCTCATCAATATCACATCGTAGCTTACACACTTCTGCGATATCTTCCGGAAAATTGGAATTCAGCGTAAGCAACTGCTGTAAGTGATCGGTTTTCTCCTTCAACTGCCACTTGACACACCCAAACACATTACAGTCCCACCGTTGCAACGAAGAACTGACATGTGAAATATTAGAGACCAAACTCCGAACATCCGCAGTAGAAGAGGGCAGCCAATTATCAACAACTACTTGCTCACAACTTGCATTTCGTAACCATATAGCTTCGAACCGATACATGTGATGACCACTAGCATGAGATTGACGTTGTTCCTTAGCCCCACAAAGGTCAACACAAATAGGTAGATGATCGGAGGATGTGCACGCCATAGGATAGACCTTTGCATGGGGAAACAAAAGTTGCCAAGCATTATTAGCTAACCCACGGTTCAATCGCTCCCGAACCAAAGCGTCGCCACCTCGGTTATTAGACCAAGTAAAGAGTGGCCCAACAAAGCCCATATCATCCAGGTGTGCATCTGCGATAACAGTTCGGAAATGTTCCATTTGTGAGGGACTACGCCCCACTACGTCACACTTCTCTTGACAGAACAAAATTTCATTGAAATCACCCGCACAAAGCCAAGGCATCTGGAAACATGTTGCTAGTCTGCGCAATAATGCCCAAGAATTTTTCCATTGTGCCATTTCTGGGTGTCCGTAAAACCCCGTAAATGTCCAAGGTTGTTCCCCCAGACCAGCTTCCACAAATACATCAATATGACCAACCGAATAACTTTTCACACTAACCTGGATACCCGTAGGCCATAACAGAGCAAGATCGCCCGCAAGGCCAACTCAATTAACATAAAAACCACCACAAAGTCCCAGTTTTTGCCGAATCCCATCCATATGCTTCGAATCGAGCTTGGTCTCCATGAGAAAAACCAGCCCATGAACTTCCTTTTTCAGTAGAAATTGAAGTGATCGAACTGACCGTGGGTTCCCAAGCCCACGGCAGTTCCAGCATAAAACATTCATTGGGATCGTAGAGGCTGAAGATCAGCCTCCACCGTTGGATTATTGGTATGTGGGTTTAAATCATCACCCTCATACACACACAACCATTTACCAGCATTCACAGCCCAAGACTTATCACGCTGAGGCACACCACAACCTACCACCTCCTCAATCTCTCTCTTAGTCCCCATAATAGTTGAGTTATCAGTCTTGGGATCCATGTGCTGGCGGGCCACCCTCTTCCACTTCTTTTTGGGCAACACTGTTTCACCCAATGGGCTAACCTCAACCTCCATCAAAACATTAGGATTAATGGGAGAAATTTGGGCCACCTGAACTGGTTCAATTAGAGTGGGCTGAGCCCCGCCTAGGCCCAAAATGTTATGTGTAGAATGAAGCCCAGGCCCCCCTTCTTCAACAACCTCCTGCCCATTCATAAATTCAAAAAGAGTAGATGAGAGTGAATTTATGGTAAGACTCGGAGTTGTAGCCATATGTAACGCATTTCCTTGACTGATGCCATCAATCACGGGTAGCAGAATCTCTCAATCGTGGTCGTTCCGATCCCGACACCGGTCAGGGCCCACAGCCACCGAAACACAGGGTTGCGAAATACTCTGTGGTGCCCCCTCTCCCCTATGCACAGGCTCAGAAACCATCTGCATCTGAGTCCCCTGACCAACAGAAGGCCGAACCCCAACACCTCTATCAATCGGAACATTTCTATGAGGCCCTTTGGCTTTGAAAGTATCCATTCTCAACCAGGCCCCATACTACTGCACATCAACCAGAGTTTCGTCTGCAGAAGAGAGTTTGGCAACACATTCTCGATCGCTATGGCCTAGCATTCCGTAAAAATGGAAAAATATCGGAAGGCGCTCATATTTGAAATCCACCCAGAGAGGATCTGCAGAGGACAAAGATAATTTCATCCCCGGCCGTAGAGGCTTCCAAACATCAATAGCCTTCCGAATCCGCATTGTTCTTCCCCATGCAATGCCATCATCTTCAAAATCCATATCAATAAACTGCCCAACAGAATTGCCAATTATTTGACCAACCTCTTTATTCATAAGAATTAGAGGAAGGTTGCAAACATGCACCCAGAATTGCACCGGTGTCAATCGAATGTCAGATGGTGGAATGTTGGGATCCATCTCTCCCAACATTAAAAGGTGCTTATCGAACGTCCAAGGGTCATTCAATAATACGCACTGTTTATCCACAACATGACCAAACACGAAAAAAAACAAGTTGTCGCCAATGACTCGCACCTGCATTCCTTTGGTGGGTTGCCACACAGATAACAGAGTACTCTTCATGGTATCAAAGTTAAACGGCCTACGAGTGAGTAACTTGCCAACAAGGCACATATCCGATTTTTCTATCATCGATCTTGTAGAGTCCCTCCCAAGATGCACAACTGTGTCCTCCTCCGACGTGGGAGATATCGTACTAGTAAGATGGAGAAGGGAGTCAGCCATCTCGCCACGAACGCCTCCTCTAAACTTCTACCGCGAGAAGAAAACCTTGCAAAAAGCAAGAAAAACCTCCACTCTAGAGAGAGAGAGAGGACATTAATTTGGCAGACAATTACTTGGAAAATTGCAAAAATATGTAACAGTGAAAAAGCATTAGAAATTTCAAGATCATTAACTTGTAATCCCTATAATTTTTGTTTCCTTTTTTTAATATATTTTTAGATGAGTAATTTTGTTCACTTAAGCTGCCAAGTTATGCTTCCATAGCCTAAGGTAAGATCTTATACTTTTCTGCCATCCCTTATACTTCAAAATGAAAACAAAAATGTTACCATTATTCTGCCACAATTCATGTTTTCTTAAAGTAGAAAATCATAACCATTATAATTACATCTCTCTAAATTCTAACCATCTTAGCACTCGTTTGACATAAGGTTACAAGGCTAAAATAAGATAAAATGTCACATTCAAACCACAATTACTTCATTTTTTCTCTTACAAAAGTCAAAAATTACATTCCAAACGAAGCTTTTTAGCCCCAAACTAAAATAGCCAAAAAGTCAAAAAGTTAAAAAATCAATCCACATCCTAAACGAACCCTATAACTTTCCCTTCTACTTTGCTTGGCAACATCTTTATTTGGTGACATTCACTTATCGTAACCTCGACCCAATAATGATTGAAACCTCCTTTTTTTGGAGACTCCCACAACCCTGTTTGGAACCTTTAATGGTGTGGACCCACACATACATGAGTGGGCCCCACACATACATCAATAGTTAAGATCCAAAGGGAGTTATGAGGGTTCCAAAAAAAAGGGTCCTAAGCATTTTTCTTTCAATATAAATGATATCCAATGATTGCATTCTCAAAGTTATATTAATAAATTAGAAAGCAGCTTGCCTTCATTCCAAGATCAGGCTAGACGGTGTTGTTTGGCCCAAAGCCCACCACGAGTCCCATTTTGGTAATCTGAACCGTTCAATGTGTAGAAATCGTCGAGTATTATATGCCTGTAAAAAAACACGTTAATCGGATATCGATAGCTATCTCATCGGATTAGTTTTTTGTCAACCATTAATTTGTTCATTATCTATTTTTTTTTGATACAAAACTGTTTTAATCACATAACTATCGATATCCGATCAACGTGATTTTTTATAAATATATAGTACGCGACGAGTTCTATACATTGAACAATTCAAATTATCAAAACGGAACCCATGGTGGACCTCTACAGACCGAACAGCACCGTCCAGTCCAATCTCAGACTGGAGACAAGCTGCTCCTATTAAATTATGATATCATTTGGTAGCATGTATTTGTAGGAGCCGGATATTTGGAATAATCATAAGCGCACTCTGGAAGGAAGATATTACACGGCTCTACACTGCACGATGAGAGTGCCGAATATAATGAATAGGCCGAGTAGATACTAAACTGTGGAGCCGGATAGATAGGAGAATAACGAGTGACAAATGGGCCTGGTCATGAAGCCCAGGGAACAAGTATAAATAAAGGAATAACCCATTGAGAAAGGTATGTGAGAATTACTGTGCTTAACTTAGAATACAAGCTTCCTCGAGTGTAGATACTAACTTCCCCGTCGGAGTGCTAATTCTGGCACCCCCGACCGGAGTGTTTATTCTTTTTCAGGTGACCAGAAGAGTATCACGAGCGTTCCCCAGAATTAGAAGAGTATTTCCAAACCATATCCCCACAATTGGCGCCGTCTATGGGAATACTCAAGCACATCCATGGTGAGCGTGACGGAAGATCCTTTGACAGTCATTGTCGACCCTATACCTCATGATGAAACTACTCCAACAAACTTGCTTGGACTAGAGACTATCGCCGCACGACGTGCCTTGAATTTTGCCTCACCCTCGACTTCGGAGCACGAGACAATGCAGGCGATCATGGAACAAGCAAAGCAAAATGAACAGAGGCTGGAGAACATGATCGCTGAGAACGAACGTCTTTGTGAAGATTTGGCCTTCGAAATGACAAAGTCCAAACAAGCTGCGCGCCTAAATCCAGAATGATCTCTGAAGGCAGGTGGTCGACAACCTCGAGCACGACAAGACATTGATAGCGACTCTGACTTATTATTCTTGGAGCCCAGGAAGAAGGGACGACATGAAACCACTAGTTCTTCCAAAGAAAGTCCCTGTACAATGCAGAAACGAAGAGGGAAAAGTTCGGACGAAGACCAACACGATCCCTTCGTACGACGGATCGCAAAGGCTGCGCTACCAAAGAAATTTAAAGCACCGTCGTTCACCCTGTACGACGGAAAATTAGACCCAACTGACCACATCCGCCACTACAAGCAGGCCATGACATTGCATGCGGACGATGAGGCCCTCATGTGCCGAATATTTCCCAGCAGTTTGGGACCATTGGCGGTCCGGTGGTATTATAAACTGGAGCTGGCTTCGATCAAAACCTTCCCCCAACTACAAAAATCTTTCAAGGCCAGATTCATTACCAACGAAGTCCAGCCAAAGCAAGCCGACTCCCTCTAGGTAATGCAAATCCTGCCAGGAGAAACACTAAGAGCTTATTCGGCGCGATACTGGGAATGCTTTAACCTTGTTGATGACGCTTGCAACGACTCCATGGCCGTCATCGCCTTCAAAATGGGACTACACCCAGATAGTGCCCTCCGCAGTTCCTTGACTAGAAGACCCCCCAAAATAGTCTGGGGGTTGATGAAGAAAGTAGAGGAATACTACAAAGTGGAAGACGACGCCTTGTGGGTTAAAGCCGGACACGTGGTCAACAAAACGGCCCCTCCTGAAATCGCTTAGCGAAGTTTCGCACCACCTCAAAGCCCGGAACCACGACAGCGGGCTAAATGAGACAAGAGACGGGATTCTCGTTGATCCAGCGATCAATGCCCATACCAAGTCAATGAGCAACTGCAGGTCGATAGCAAGCACACAAAGCGCGCCGACAAGAAATATACGGAGCTGTCAGAGCCAATCAGCTCAATTATGCCCAAGATCCAACATCTTCCATTCTTCAAATGGCCGTCCAAGATGGTGGGACCTCCTGACACGAGAAGGCGGGACAGACGTTGTGAATATCACAAAGATCACGGTCATGATACGGACAGCTGCTATGCCTTGAAAGACCACCTTGAGGAATTGGTCCAAGATGGTCGGCTCCAGCAACATGTTCAAAAAAGCACAATCAAAACTGTCACCCTTCGGCAGGAGTCACCTCCCCTCGGCGTTATACATATGATATACAGTCTTCTAACGCCACATATCATACACGCAATCCATTTAGCCCCCCAGGAGCAACGCGCACAAACGAAACAGCCCCACCAAGCGCCGAGCATTATCTTCGACGATTCCGATCTTATCGGCATAACACTCCCCCATATTGATATATTGGTCATTGAACTACATGTAAACCGGTTTACCGTTGAACGCGTCCTCGTTGACCAGGGGAGCACTTCGGAGGTCATGTATTACGAGACCTTCATCAAACTCGGCTTCAACGAATCAGACCTATCTCCGACTCCTCATCCATTGTTCGGCTTCAACGCGAATCCGGAGTATCCGTTGGGAAAAATCACGTTACCCATTCGGGCGGGCTCCTAAACGGTGGAAGTGGAATTTCTGGTCGTCAAGCTCCCTTTGCCATATAACCTCATCATGGGGCAGACTTGGTTGCGTACTATTCGGGCCATACCAAGCACCTATCATCAGCTGCTACGCTTCCCGACCGAACACGGTGTTGAGCAAATCCGGGGTTCTCGGCAATCTGCATAAGCATGCTATCTCCTTTCTGGAAAGACACCAATGGAGACGCAGGTCAACTCCATTGAAGCGTCAAATTGAGAGTCTCGACAAAGTCGGACGGCTTCATGATAAGAAGCCATGGAAGCTGTAGGCGATACCGGTAGCAATTTCTCAAGACGTCTGATCAACGCATCCAGCTGCGCCGCTGCACGCCGATAAAGTTGCCCCTGAAGGTATTTTTGGACGATAGAAGGCTGGTTAATGGAAAATTAGGCACGCGGCCTTGCTCCTAACGCACTTGCGTGAATTCTATCATAAAACCCGACTTGTGGGAATGATATTGGTTCTGAACGGCTCACCATGTACACTTTCCACTTCTGTAATGAAAAGATGCCTGTTTACTGACTCTGCAATCCAGTTCAAAAATGTTCCAAAGTCTCCGGATTCGGAGCCCCATCGGCGCAAGACGTCTTTGGGCCGATAAAAGCCTCTGGATTCGGAGCGCCCTTCGTAGATGTCACGATTGGCCAAATCAAGTCTCCGGATTCGGAGCCACATCGGCGCATGACGTCCTTGGGCAGATAAAGCCTCCGGATTCGGAGCGCCCTTCGTGGATGTCACGATTGGCCAAATCAAGTCTTCGGATTCGGAGCCCCATCGGCGCAAGACGTCTTTGGGCCGATAAAAGCCTCCGGATTCGGAGCGCCCTTCGTGGATGTCACGATTGGCCAAATCAAGTCTTCGGATTTGGAGCCCTATCGGCGCATGGTGTCCTTGGGCTGATAAAGCCTCCGGATTCGGAGTGTCCTTTGTGGATGTCACGATTGGCCAAATCAAGTCTCTGAATTCGGAGCCCCATTGGCGCATGACGTTCTTGGGCCGATAAAGCCTCCAGATTCGGAGCGCCCTTCGTGGATGTCACAATTGGCCAAATCAAGTCTTCAGATTCGGAGCCCCATTGGCGCATGACGTCCTTGGGCCGATAAAGCCTCCAGATTCGGAGTGCCCTTCGTGGATATCACGATTGGCCAAATCAAGTCTCCGGATTCGGAGCCGCATCGGCACATGGTGTCCTTGGGCCGATAAAGCCTCTGGATTCGGAGCGACCTTTGTGGATGTCATGATTGGCCAAATCAAGTCTCCGGATTCGGAGCCCCATCGGCGCGTGACATCTTCGGGCCGATAAAGTCTTCGGATTCGGAGAGCCTTTCTAAAATGAAAACATTTATAAATCTAAGCAGGGATATG